CATGCACCTCATTTTGCACTATTTTGTATCATTTTTAACGTCCTGTAAACATGTTTATTTTTATTGTCATATTTTATTTCTTTATTTACTAAATGTACCTTTCAGTGGTAGCTGCTGTAATTTCGCCATGCTTCATTGTGTGATGACATTAAAGGCATTCTATTCTATTCTACCTGGGATCAGATTTGTGTTTTTAACACACATAAACATATACAAGAGATGCAATATGTGAGAACAATCTATGATGGCTCTTTTTTTTTTGTTTTCCAACACTATAGACTATGCACATTGCATTGATCAATCAAAGCTGCAGTTTTTTTAGTGCCAGTACAACCTGGTGTCCACACATTAGACTCTGGGCTGCCATCATGATGGACTTCATCCCAGAGGCGCAGACTTTGTTGATGGTTGTTGCTGGAGTGCCGAGGGTCAAGCCTGGAGATGAAATCGGAGACGTTTTTGAATTTGAATAAATAAATAAATAAAATAAAATTGTCAACTTTTTAGTTGTGTGTTTGTGTGCATCATTCTATTACAATATAGAGATGTATATTTAACAAAATTTGATGCCCTGGACATGCATGTACGTTGTGTGACACCATCAATTGGCTGCGTACAGTCAGTCTTACAGTGGAGAGAGGTGACAGTGCTTGTTTTGTGCCAACGAAGACAACACATGTGCAGCTGATTTATGTACATTTATATTTTGTGGTCAAGAAAAATTCAAAATTGTGTCCACACCTGCGCCAAGCAAGGCTTGTCTAGTGGGGGCCTGTCCTTCTCCTGCCTGAAGCACATTGCCCATATAGACCTCCTTCACCTCCTCAGGAGAGATTCCTAAACACAAGAAGCAATTAGTCAACTCACCAAATATACACAGCCATCCACCCATTCATAATCTACTTCTAATATTTTACATCAGTTGTATTAGCTTAGTCATAATTTGACATATTTGCTGATGATGATTAACCAATGCCCCTTCAGAAAATGATCATGCCCAATGTCAGAGAGAGTCCAGTCCATGAGGAAGTTGAGTTATACATGTAGTCACGACTTATGCAATGACTGGATGAATACATATACTAGAAACGACCCCTTTGTACATACCTGCTTTGTCTATGGCTCCTTTGATGGCGATGGAGCCCAGTATAGTGGCTGGTACTGCTGCCAGGCTGCCTCTGAAGGAGCCCATTGGAGTGCGGACTGCGCTGACGATGACGACTTCCTGAAACCAGCCACGAGAAGTTTGCATTCAAGGTTTAGTGTGTAATAGTTTGTGACAACGAGTGGTGGAGCATGTTGCCGCTGAACACCCCTCACCTCACATCACCCTCCAAACATGAAAGAAAACATGTGGCAGCTTCAGTTGTCATAAAAACTCAAAAGATGTTTAGTTTGTCCAGTTTGCACTAATTTAAAAAACACGGCGGCCTAGATTACTGCTCCTGATGTTAATATAAAGTATTTAAATATAAAGGGTCCATTCTAGGATAAAGAAATTTGGACAGTTTAGAGGAAACATACAAATGAAAAACAATCACTAGGATTATTTTATATTTAATTGCTGCCAATAGATGCATTTCACCTAAATCCAACCTTTAAAGAGTGGGTGACATTGACTTACATTGAGTGAGGGCCGAGACGTGTAGGTTCTTGACAGGTACCTGTGAGCCTGCAATACAAAGACAAAGAGTTCATGTAACATTCATAAAAGAAGAGTCAGGTCTAACCTGGAGCTCTTCCATATCAGTGCTGGGTCCCAGGCTAGACAGCTGTTAGCATACAAAATATGGTATTAGCAATGCTAATTGTTAAACATAAATAACATATAACATAAAATGTGCCAGCAATGGTAAAATTAAGAGTGAGCAGAAGCAGTGGACATCAGCTTATGATGTTAACAGTGGCTAATATAGCTTTTGCTTAAGCTAGGTCTACTAGCTTTTGTATTTTCAGTTAGCTACTAAGCTACTAAGCTACATAGCTGGTATTCTAACTGCTAGTTCTTGAGTTACACCCTCGACATGGTTCAGCTTCTTCACTGGGAGACACCTGCTGCAGTTACAGGCTGTTTCCAGGCTGTTTCATTCTTATGGTCAAGGACAAACACAAAGAGCGTAAGCGAGCAGCTGTGACTCAGCCGGGGTTACTCGCAGGTTTGCTCGCAGTCAAACAGATGCTACAGCTAGCATGCTACAGGGCATCGAGTGATTTCACACACCCACACTTACCAGGCGTCTGCAGGCGTGAGCGCGCATGGTTAAAAGTCCACCGGAGGACATGTTGGACCGAGGGACAGGACTGTGACTCCCACGCTCGGACTCACTTCACCTTCAGCCTACAGGACTACCCGCAGCAGCCAATCACAGTGAGAGGTGTGTTCCCTCTGACGTCACGGCTGGCCGGGCATCATGGTCGTTGTAGTTTTAGAATCAGAATCAGAAAAGCTTTGATTGCCAAGTAAAAAAAAAGTCTGAGATTTCTTCTACTATATATCTCGAAGTAAAACTTTCAAAGGAGCAGACATTTGCACATGCACAGGCTTTAAATATAAACACATTCCAAGAAGTGGCCCTCAAGATCCTAAAGCTTAAGGGTGGTGCTCCAAGAGAGGTGATATCATTCATTTTGAAGTTTTGTTTCACGTTTTCTTGCTCCAACTTGTTTATTAAAAGAACTGCTGATGGCATGCTGTGTCAACTACACCTCTTATATCATGTTTTAAAATGAATTTGGCACACTTCATGGAGAAGTTTCAGGACGGTAGACAAACCGGTCTGGTGTTTGAGCGTCTGGACAGGAACCTGTACCAGCTGCTGCAACAATGACATGGACAACTGCTGACTCTGAGTGAGACCCCCCCACACACTGACTCAAAGAGGAGGCTGAGCCACAGAGGGGTCTCTTGGACGAAGACGATGATGATGACTTTTGGTCAGATGGTGTGGCCTAGGAAGAGCCCGCAGGGTGGAGGAGGTTTCAACAGTGTTACGTCCCTAAGAGGTCTATGGGATGAGGAACAAACAATACAAAAATCAACTGGGGGAAAAACAAGAGACTAGCAGGATGCATTAAAGGAAAATCAAGTATTTTATTGACAAATGTAAAATCTGCACAAAACGCTCTTCACAGATCTGAAGAGGGAATAAGCCAACAAAGAACAAACCACTGAAAACAATCTCCAACAAACTGAAGATGAACCAGGACGACAAGAAGAGCACAAACAATAGTTCATCAGTTAGAGTCAGAGTTAGAATATGCACAAATACACCAACTACTGCTCCGTTCGCTCGCAGCTTGTTTGAGCAAGACACACATTACACACAAATTACCCCTTGGTCCACTGGCAACATCTGAAGCTTTGCTCAATGTTTTCTGCCTCTCCCTGTCTCGGAGTGGCTTCAGCTGTGCCAGTGGAGGTGCTGGCAAGAGCACGCAGCTGGAGGGGATGAGAGAGAGAGAGCAGAACTGGAATACGCAGACAAAAGGAAGACATCTGCATTCAGTACTGAGCAGTGCAAATCAGTGAAGAAGCAGGGGGAATAAAAGGAAGGAGCAAGTAACAAAAAGCTGACTAAGGATCAAGCACAGTAATTTGAGTGGCACACTACACATTATGGGGAAACCCCCAACTGGATCATGTGACTATTGTCAGGAAGAGGAGACAGTAAAAAGCAAACTTATGTCATGTGAGAAATTCGTACAGGAGAAAATATATCAATATTTTATGTCATGATTCCAGTCACCCAAATATTTAGTGTGTTATATATAGCAGCTACAACAACAGGTAAAAAAACAAGCATTAAAGGTCCAGTGTGTAAGATTTAGGTGAAAAGGAACTATTGTCAGAAATTTAATGTAGAATAATCCTCATGATGTTTTCACTAGTTTATTTCATCTACATTGTATGAATTGAAGTTTTCTTTATCCTAGAAAAGACCCTTTATATTTAAATACTTTATATTTACATCAAGGGGGTCCTCTCTACAGAGGCCACCATGTTTTTTTACATTAGTCCAGACTGGACAAACTAAACACCTTTTGAGTTTTTATGACAATTAAAGGCTACCACAGGTTCTTTTTCATGTTTGGAAGGAGAGGGTGAGTTGAGGGGTGTTCAGCTGCAACATGCAACTTCAACACTAGATATCACAAACCTCTACACACTGTACCTTTAAAGAATCCTTCTGAATTCAGTAGTCTAAGGAGCTGTCAACAAAAAAAAAAGATAATTTAACATGAACAGGTTCTTCAAAGTGCCAAAAGTGCTGTAAGGTGTGTTTTGAAGAACTCTTCTTTTATATTCAGTTCCCCAGAGAGCCATAAACAGCAAAAAAAAAAGGTTCTATAGTGAGAAAAGGTTACCCAGAGCATTCAAAGTGCTCCTGAGCACTTGTGAAGAACCAGTTTTTCTTAGTGTGTACAATCCATGTCTGATAAATGCAGTGGGTGTTAACATGTTACTCTCTGTTGCAGATTGTTTCAAGGAGTCCTATCCTTAGACAAAAGTAGATTCAACTGTAGAAATAAGAGTAGAGGTTGTGTTGGACCGGAGTTTTAATCATGAGGAAAAATCACACTCACATACATATGCATTGTATTTTAACTTTATTGTTCACATTTAAAACTTGATTACAGTGAATGTTTAGTTATGCCTTACAAACAAAGAAACAGAAAATGTAACAAAGAATAAAGCTACAATAACTCACGATGAGTTAAGGGAAAGCCATTGCTTTGTTGAACGCTAGCGCTTCGTGTGTGTGTGTGTTATAACAAAAACTGGGAACACCGTGCAGCAGCCTGCTGATCTCTTTTATTCTATTAATATTTATATTTCAATTCCTAATCAATGCACAAATTATCATTCTGTTCTAAATCACTATTCTATTAAAAGGTAGGGAACCTCATCCAAAATATTAAAAAAGGTATCTATTGATTCATTGTCTAAGAAATCAAGATCTTAACCAAACTGATTAGAAGAATCGTTTCACCCAGTGTGTGTGTGTGTGTGTGTGTGTGTGTTTGTGTGAATGGAATATTGTTTTTTTAGTCACAATCCATCCATGCATAGTTTGAAAGGGTGCGCATCACTCTTCTTCGTTGGTAGTGGTACTCAATCTGTCTGGGTCCACTTGAAAAGTACAGGTAACCTGAAAAGAAGGGTACATCATCGACATCAAGCCAAACAGAAACATCATACTGCATTAGAGGGGCTGTCCCGCTGTCACCCCCATTACCTACCACTGTTCACGAAAGCAGCATCCACTCGATAGCCAATCCCAGGGAGCTCTATCTTTATGAGTCTTGGGTACCCAAAATCCATTCTGCCTTTCCTTTCATTGTAGCTATGAATAATATGAGAAAGGGTTTTTATCAATACATCAGTCTATGTAGGGATTCAGCCTATATGTATATGGATTTTCCCAGTACCAACCTCCAGTATTTGCGCCCCACAAAGATCAGGGTTTTGCTTGTAAATGGCACATGGACAGCAGCGTCCACCTTCTTGACGTATGGAGGGAGGCCAAAGCCCCTGAGAGGTTTGGGATAATCAGGTAGGACAGTGTTTCCACTGATCCTCCAGTAATGGTCCCCTATTGCATGAAAAGATAGACAATTACTAATGTGGTATACTCCTGGACACATTTATATATTTAATGGACCGGCATTTATTGATAGCTTTTTTACCCTCATAACAATAACGAAACAAAAAGGCTTCATTTTGTACCTTCAAAGAAAATGACAGTATTCTTATGCTCATAGGCAGCATCAACTTTACTGATTCCAGGCCAGACAGACTGGATACTCTTCATGGTGATACCGTCCCAAGAGCTGCTCCTCTTCCAGAAATGTCTGACCAAAAACAAAATCAAAATACTGTCATATGAGGGGCAACATGTTAAAGTTACGGTTGGTAGGTTGAAACACTTTTTGAATTGTTCAAATCCTCACACCCAGATAGCCATCAATAAATAAAGATGTCTGCAAAAAAAGAAAAAAAGCCTGTAATTCATTCAGACTGAATGGAATTATGGGCTGTCACAGGAGGCAGACATGACTGAAGCAGCAACAATAGTCAGAAGTAAGTGGGCAATTTATGTAAAAGTCGGCTTCTAGCAGTCGGCAGACAGAGCACGTTCATGTGTTTTGGGGGCGTAGCTTTGAAGAGAGGGCCAATGTCATTGGCTGCACTTTGTAGCCACCTCTTTTGACATTTCTAGGCTTACCAGCCCTAGTTTTAACATCAAACCTAAATGACAACATAAGAAAAAAATTGAATAAATGTCTTACCCATCTCTAAAGAAGTAAAGGTTTCTCCGGATGGAGGTTGCAGCATCAAAAACGATGTCCCTTGTGCACCAATCTGGTGTGGGTTCAGGATCTAGCTCAGGTGTAGGTTGTGGTTCTGGCAAAGGTTTTATGGTAGGCTGTGGATTTGGTTCAGGTTCAGCCGCTGGTTGAACTGATGTTGCTCTGATTCCTTTAAAGGAAAAAACAGATTCTGTCAGGACATTCATCAAAAGTGCTTGAATGTAATTACACCATGCTTCTCACCGTAGATAGCTTGTGCTCCCTGTATGTCGTCATCTGGCAGCTTGTACCCCTCTGTGTTCACATACTTATAGGTGGGATACATCAGCGCTGTCTGGACCTGAGAATGGGCCAGCCCAAGTGCATGGCCAAACTCATGGGCTGCTACCAAGAACAGGTTGGCTCCTGTACATACACATATAGAAAGTTACTGTGGGTACTTAATTAGCTATGGAATCATATCGTCTCAATATTGCTGCACCTCCTGAGGTCAGAGTCCAGTTTTCATCTTCATCAAAGTGGGTGTCACCCCCATGACCTGCTCCAGGGGAGAATGCATGGGCCAAAACCCCACTCTGCCCATCAAATGGAGCAAAGTCTCCATGGTCTGGTGAGAACAATGAGCAAAGTTACCACTAGATCAAACATTTTCTCAAAGGCACTGAAGGTACTGAGTTACCTCCACTCTTGAAAATGATCATGATGTCAGCGGTGCCGCTGTCAATCTGCTTGAAATCCAGAGGAATGACGTCACTGTAGATTTTCAGAGCCTTGGCTATGGTGGCATCCACGTCAACTTGACTCAGGTCCGGCGTGTAGTTTTTTATCCTGCATGTAGTGAGAGTGAAAAGGCTTTAAGTATTTAAGAGCTTTGTTGTGCTCTGTGTTTGTGTGAACTGCAGCCAGAACCAATTGTTCTGACATGGGGATCTTGCGTCGTACCTGTATGTAACCAGAGTCTTTTGCCACTTTGGTCGACCGTCGAAGTGGCTGTATTGGCTGACGTCTGTGAAGCCACAACGAGGGCGATTCATCACGTCCATAGTGTTGGTGTCTAAATGCCCTGTCACTTGCAGGCCGTAAAACTCCTGCATTTTTCTCAGAGTGTCTTCGAAGGAGTCGAGAGAGCTGCGCCAGACACTGTTGGGTGCACTGACGCCCACTTCAGAGAAAAACTGAGACAGATAGTCCTGGTCGAAGACAAAAAAAAACCAAATAAACCATTCTCATATTCAGCTAAGCTTATGATAAAATAATTTTGTGAAAAGATAAGTGAAAAGTTAGTTCAGGTTTTCATGAAATTAAAACCTTGTTTATGATAATGTTATTGGGCTGCTGAAAAAAATTAAGTTAATTAATTGTGTGGATATAACTTAATTCTAAATTAACATCTAAATTTGTGTGTATTGAGTTTTTTTAGTTGGCTCCAAAATGTTCTTTATTCCGTGTATTTTTCTGCAATAGCCATTTACAGTTTTTACATCCAGTTATTTTCCTTTTCACTGTTTCACTGCTGGAGTTCAACATTCCTGCAAGGCACTCAGAGTGTAATAAAGCATTAACACTAGATTAAATACTGTTTGTGCATTTTATCTCAGCCCTACCAACCCGCCTACAGTCTTGATATTTCTGAAATTGGAAAGTCCATTATTCATTTAATGTTAAAATTAGAACATGTGAGACTTCAATGTTTAACAAGGTTGAGATCAATAGTTTTTACAGAGTTACAAACAAAAAGCGAAATACTCCTCTCTCCCAAATCAGCAGCTTAAATAACACCAACAAATATTGCAATATTTGACCTCATGTTACCTGGGCTTTAGAGAGCTCTTCTTGGCTGGGTGAAGGGGTGGGCACCGCTCTGCAGAGGGCTACAACCACCACTACCATCACTGTTTTAAAAGCCAGCGCACCCTCCATGGCTCCTTTCTTCTCTTTATTAATCACGTCTGCTCAGCTCTGCTCTGATACGGGGCTGGAATGCAACTGATTTGTTATTTCCTGAAATGGTCAATTTCAGTGTTTTGGATGCGAGGGGGGCATGATAGGGCAATAAAACATTCCTGCAAGTGTCTGTACAGGCCCATTAGAGGAATGGGGATAATAACTGCGATGTGGAGTTAGAGGGCTTTGGAGAACCGTGGGCCTGTGAGGACATGGCGTTGATCAGAAACTGCACTGAACGAACCATCAACAGGAAGACAAGAGAGGACAAGAGTTAACATCTGCTTTTTCTCTGTGAAGAAATGTTGCACTTTGCTCTGACACCTCACCTCACATAGATCCTTCTCTTAATCTCAGTGAATACCAACATACAAAATGTATTGATTTAAATTGCTGTTACGTTGTGAAAATTACCTCATAAGGATTTGAGGAGCAAAACTTTTATACATATTAAATGTGATTATCAGACATTCAGAGCAGTATTAAGAATTGTCTGAAGCACACATATTCCTTCTGTTCACTCACATTTTTCTTAATCACTGTTTCTTTTCATAAAAGACATTTGATTATGTTGCTTATCAAATGTGACTTGCATGTATTTCTACAGCCTCTAAATGACATATTTTTGATTACTGTATGTTTAAGGAGGTGCATTAGAAGCTTGTTTACTGGTACTGTCTTTAAAACTATTTCAATATTACACAGACTTTGGTAGAATCTCTGCCCACTGCTACAGGGTACCCTAAAAACTTGTATGGATGTTTTAATGAGCTGGTGTCATGTGTCCTGGTGCTGCTGATGATGTGAGAGAGAAAGAGATAGAAAGTGACAGAAGAGTGTTCACCCAAGAAATAGCACAAAACCTTTTTTTGTGTAAAAAAGGTTTTTATCATTATGAAACATTGGCAGGACAAATGTAGTATACATATTTTATCCTGCACTGTGCACACATATGCATCACTCTTTGAGGATTTGAGTTCTTTTTGTTAAGTTGGATTTTATCTCCAATGTCACAACAAATATAATTATACATTCTTTTTGTGTAAAATCCTGTAATATTACTGTTTGCTTTAACATTTACACTGGCTGCAACCCAGAATCAACTTGTTTGACCAAGTCTCCAGTTTCTCTAAGAGAGAAAAAAACACACGGTTCACTCTGAAACTTCAGGATTCCCAATGAAACATAGCATAGGTACAGCATTACATTTTTACATTTACATTACAATTCCTCAGCCAGTCTGTGTCCACTGTTTGCTTTTTTTTTTACATGTTAAAGGACTCCATACTTTCACGCGCTGCATTGAGTGCACAACAGTAAAATTTAAGCATGAAAGGAAATAGGTGGCAACACGGACTCCTGCTGAATGACCAATTATTCAGTCAACTAAAACATACATAACCTGAAATTAACTCCATTTCCTCCTTTGTTCTTTATTTGAACTTTAATTTGCAGAATACAAGTTTGTGTTTTTAGTCTTACATGCTTTATGAAGAGTACATTACATAACAGATACAAGGGCATGTTGTCTCTACAGATTTTTTTACATCTCCTGATAAATGTACATATTTACATTGTTCTTCAGGCATTTTTATCGTAAATCAATGATGCTACACTGTTTATTTATGACGCCTTTTCCAATTTTTTACATGCATACATACAACTTTGTCACAAGTTTTGAAGGATCCTTAGAAGTTAAAGAGGATTTCAATCATGAACTGATACTATGTAGGGAATTCAGTCCTATATTCTCAAAAGAGGACATTTCAACTCAATGTGGGTAGTCTGTTGGGGAGTCAGTCTGCCAATATGCTAGTTTCTTTAGAGACTTCATATAAAGAGTTGAACTATTAATGATGTATTTACTCAGCATTACCACTCAAAAACCTCAACTTAGAACTCACGTTTATAAGTTCTAAAGCAGTTAGAAACATAGAAAAAGTAGACTGAAACTACATGAACCATATTATCATAGGTTAATGAGTTAATTCCAATAAATTGCTTTGTGATGTGTAGACTTCACACATAAAGAAAATAAAAATGTAGAGAAGTATAAAAATAAAGTGTAACTTTATATTTAAACTTTTCAAAAATAAGGGGATTTTATAGACTTAAATATATTAATTATAATATTGAGAGTAAAATAGAAGATAAATATTCAAAATATAATGTTTATAACACTGTAACACTGTTAGTTGTACATTGAGTCTCATTCACATGAGTTACTATAACAACTCAGATGATAAACTGTGCTAGAAGTTAGTGCAGCGCAAGAAGTAGCTGTTCCTCAACACACGATACAACCTCCCGGTCTTCAGGTCGTACTCAAACATGTAGGGTCCGCTGTAGATGTACGTGAAACCTGCAGAACAGAGGCTCATTGTTAGTGTCTGTGATGGGAATAGTTTAGTAAAACGATGCATGGCTTCAGTAGTTAGAGAAGATTGATGCCAAACTCAGATGGAGGCTATGGGTCAGGCTATTGATCGATATTGGGGGTTTCCTTCAGTCATTGCAATGAGATTACAAGGCAATCAATGGTAACCCTAGTACGCTATGGCACTATATAAAATCGTAATTTTATACACTTTTGATTAAAAAATTAAAAAAGATATACAACATGATCCAGAGGGGGCTTTAGAGGTACTAGTAGACGGCTACAGGTAGATAAAGTAACTTGTTCCTCAATGCACAGATGTGTGAGTGGTATTGATCTTCTCATCAATATCAAGTCATTGTATGAAGCAAAAAATGTCCAACCTTTCTTGAAAAAGCTGAAACATTTTGAGGATTGCTGATTCATTTGTCTGGCAAACTGTGAACATCTTGTCATTTCACTACTCACCTCTGTACTGGAAAGCTGCAGTCACCTTGTTCAGTCCGGAGAAGGTCTGATCAACACGTTTGGGGAATCCAGGGTCCATGGTCTTCCTGGCATCATCATAACTGAGGAAACAGACAGTAATTAGATACATTCAATGAGGGTAAAGGGTAAAGAATTCATTATTCTGAAATCAGAAAATAATTTGTGCTCTGAACACACCTGTAGTAATAGTTGCCTGAAAAGAACAGAGTTTTGCTGGATTGTACGTCATAGAGGGCAGCATCGATTTTCTTCACGTGTCTTGGCAGACCAATACTGGTAAGTCTTTTGGGATAGCCACGCTCTAGATCATAGCCTCTGAATGCCCACACTTTGCGACCTGTAGGAGCGAAAAAGTTATAAACTCATAACTTCGACATCTTTGAAATAGAATCAGATTCATGTCGTCTGTCAAAGAGCACACGTACCTTTAAAGACAAAGATTCTGTCTGATTGCCGGCTTTCATAAGCAGCGTCGATTTTAACAGGGGCACTGGACCAGAAGTTTCTGATGAGGCTTTGCTGAGGTGTCCTGCTCTGAGGGTAGCTACGCCAGAAGAAGCTGTAAAGACAAGTGTTCTGTTGAGAAACAATCGATACAGAGATTTGGATAGCACTCTGTTGGACAAAATGTTTCAAACCGGTCTTTGAAGAAGAACATCTCTCCTCGCAGGGTGGTGACAGCATCTAATATCATTGTAGAATCACAGGCATCAGGGGTGGTTGGGGCAGTAGGCTTATCTCCAGAAGGATCCTTTTCAGGATTTGGACCTGGAATTTTAGAAAATTGAGGCGCCAATTATTTAGAAAGCCCTCCATCACATTGCATAAAACAGTTAATGCACCACAACAGATTGTGCAAGAGATCTGCAGACATCTTAGCAAAGTGCTGGTTGTGAAAACAGGAAACTGTCCAGTCAATCAGTACTAACCATAGAGAGACTGGATGCCGTTGACATCATCACGGGGCAGAACGAAGGTGTCAGGGTTTCTGTATGTGTACATAGGGTACATGAGTGCACCAGGGTCATCAGAGTGAGATAAGCCCAGGGAGTGGCCAAACTCATGGGCGGCTACCAAGAAGAGGACGTAACCTACAGCAGAGAACATAGATTTTCCGGCAAGTTACAACATGTCAAAATACACGCTGACAGATTCTGTTAAATATTTCACTATGCACATCATAAATAAACTCACCTGCGTTGGAACGGAAGGTGAAGGTCTCATCATCATCAAAATGAGCATCCCCTCCGATGCCAGGAGACGGGGCGAAGGCGTGAGCGAGAGTGCCATCACGGCCGTCAAAGGGGTAATAATCTCCATGAGCTGTGGAGTAGGAGCACATTCAGGTCAGATTTTGAATGCAAATCAAAATCTTCCAATTGTTGCATTTCTGTAAAAAGCATCAGAGAGGATGACTAGAACACACCCCATTGCTCCCTGTTGGATCATCTCTGAGTCTGTGCACCTCACAACACAAAAATATGTCTTAATATTCCTTCAACACAAACATGAGCTGAGGAAAGAAACTTTTTCAACAACTTACAGACCCATAACAACAGTGAGGAAAAATAGCTTGGGGCACTGACATGCCACTGTGGAATGACTGTTGTCTCTTTGTTGTGTTGAGTGATGTGCACTATAGAACTATGCTGTAATAGTACAAAACAAAACTTATGCCAGTAATTGATTCATACTGTCTAGTTTTTCTGCATACTTTACACTTCCAATCCACCACATTTCAGAGGGACATATAGGCGTTTTACTTAATTTGAGTTAATCAAGTATAATGAAGGGCTATTTTATCGTGTCCCTACAATACTTAGGAGTATGTCATCAAAAGTTAAGTAAACACTATGACATTTATCCAGTGCTTATATACATTGATTTAGTAATAATAACACATGTCCAACATTAATAAAATAATCTGAAAGGAACTATCTTTATGCTGAGTACTTGATACTTTTTCCTAAGTAACACTGAGGATGTCTTGGTGTTATACTTTTACATGAGTAAAGTTCTTTTTCACTTACATTGGCGGCCGAAAGAGATCATGATGTCTGCGGTGCCACTGTAGATTCTCGTAAATCTCAAGGGAGTGACTTTGGCCCAAACCTGCAGGGCTTTGTCCATGGAGTGGTCCACCTCTGACCTGGACATGTCAGGTGTGTAGTTCTCAATCCTGTAGAACAACAGCAATATTATTAAATGGATCTACTACTATTACTCTTCCTTTCAAATCCTCTCTTCAGCCCATTCACCTGTAGGTAAGGCTGTTTTTCTCCCATTTGAGGTTGCTTCCAAACGTGGAGAAACGGGCGATGTTGCTGTCTGGAACGCCACAGCGGGGCTTCTTCATCATGGAGACCGTGTCAGCGTCTAGCGTCCCGGTGATCTGGAGACCAAAGAATCTCTGCATCTCAGCCAGCTTCTTGGTCACCTGGCTGATCCCCCGCCTGGATGCTGGACCTCTTTCCTCTGTTAGGTTGAAGAATGTCTTCAGATAGCTCTGTTAAAGATGATGAGAAATGAGTTGTCTACTGAAGGTCTTTTTGAATTTGTGGAGCTATGGCACCTCCCAAAATGCACCAATCGAATGTATATGAACTGCAAAATATTGAGAATGAATGCACACTTACCTCTGCCAAGATTTCATCCTGCACAGTAACTTCTGCTACTGGCACACAGTAAGCTGCCACTGCCAGGCTCAGTAAAACGCATACAGTGTAAGCCCTCATCCTTCTTTGTTGTGTGTCTGCACTGGAAACCAGCTGTTATATAGGCTGAGGAACTGTTGAGGACTGGGCGTGTTGGGCAACTTCTTCTTTGAGTCTCTGACACAGGGAGTAGGAAGTATACCATTTATGGATTGGTTTTGATTTGCTCAAACGACAGAACAGATCCCAGTGATCCTGTGAAGATGACATGACACTTGACCTGAAATAATAGATCTTAAAATTGTAAGAGTATTCATAGAATAAGTCATGTGGAAGTTTAGCTGCCAGTAATCATGTCATCATCTCATCAGATACCTTGTCATTGTGTATTAAACATGTTTGCTGATGTTT